ATAATAATATATATATTATATATATATATATATATATATATATATATATATACATTTCATATTGATACTATGTCATTCATGTATGTACCTATACATCTTCCATCACCCATACCTATGAATACTCCTACCCTGTTGTTGCATGTTTCCATTCAGGTGGTAGGGTTTTCGAGTGGACAAGCGGCGGCGGAGAATGCATTAGTGGGTCTTCGGTTACAGAGCGGTGCCAATAAAACTCGAGAGAACGGAGTTATTGTCATCAGCATACAGAACTTTATAACGCAAATTGGGGCTAATTGGTAAGATTTCCGTGGAGTGATGCTACATACATGCTTGTACATATATGTATATTGTACACGCGTGTATACAAGCGTACAGTAAAATACTGCTCTGTTTGTGAATACATTTATTTATATACATGACAGTGTGAAAGGAACGGGGTATATTTGAGCATGCAAGTGTGTGTGTGGCTTTGGTACATGCGCGTGTATGTGCGTGTTTGCAGAATCGTCATCTACTAGCGAGCCGTCCCTTCAAATTGTATTTGTATACGTTAAAACTACATACGGTTGCAAACAAATGACAACCGTGTTAGAGTCTCATTCCGATTTAACGTTTAGAGTTTTGGTAAAACCGGGTAAACCGGTATCTGGATATACTTCATAGCTGAGGCAGTGGGCTGTATTTTCTCGTCTTATTTTATCGATGATTTGTGAAACCTTTTAGATTGGCCTGGCTGTGGCTACATATAATAACAAAAAATAAACTCGAAGAGAACTCGTGTCGGCCAGGTTTTTCTTTTTCTTCACATCTATGAACCACATATGAACCAAAAACAGATATACAGACAAACCGATTAATTTATCTCGTTTACTGACTGTGCTGTATATATATATATATATTATGTAGGTTCGACATGGCTGTGGTTATACTCCAAGACGACAATCGCGACATTTCACTGGTCACATACTCGCAGGTATGGCTATCCGTTGCTTTACTGTACACTGGTGTAGGATATATATTGCCAGTGTGTATTCGATAACGTTTAGTTCTAATTTACTTAGATAACAGAATATATCATCCTTGGTTTACTATATGCTGGTGTAGGATATATATTGCAAGTGTGTATTAGACAACTTGTACATTTACTTGAATTTACATCAATGTATATCATCTGTTGTTGTACTACATGCTAATGTAGAAGCATTTTGTCAGCTGAATATTTCACATACACCAAATATATTTTATATATATGTATTCATTCCAAATAACATATATATATATAATATATATATAGATATATATCCATACATACATACATACATATGCATATATACATACTTATATATATATATATATATATATATTACTGTACATATGAGCGCCCTAAGTTTGTTGATTACTTGCCACAGACTGTCCGAGTGCCCATCGAATTCGTGGAAGCCGCTCGAAAAGGCTCTGAGACATACAAACACAGAAATACGGGCTATGAGGTAAGTAAATGATGTGTACAGGCACGCCAATGTTGATGATTTAAGGGATCTATTGTATAGGGAAAAATGGTACAGGTAAGTCGGTGTCTTTACATTTACGCGTCTATGTTCCTGGTTGGATATTAGTAATGTACATGAGCGTACATGACCATAGCAGTGTACATACGAACGTATACGTATTGAGTCCCAGCCCATCCATTGTTGGTGTATATAAATAGGTACGGGATCGGTTCTCACGAGTTGTGGGTTTACGGTTTTGGCTAAAACTTTGGTCTACTCTGTATGACGATTTATCCAGCTGGTCTTAGGATTCATAATCTAGGTTTTCAGGTTTTACAGTTTACAAAAAAGGATTTTCCCTTAAATCTGGTGTGGCCAAGGCGTTGGAGAGAAGGTTAAACACTTGTTTTATTGACTACACTCACACATACTCATGTTTGCGATATGTATAATATATACATATACATATATATGTATGTAGAT